ACATTTTAAATGTTTTCTGTGGGGCGAATAATTGTGAAAAGATGTCAATGTAGCCTACATCAAATATGGGTGTTTTCTTCGGTCTAAAGATGGTTTGGAACAGCGTTGAAGATAGTTTGGCTTGCATTAATACTTTTTTATTTGTGGTCATTGAATAATTGTTACTGATTTAATCTAATTTAAAGTGTAATCTGTTGCGAGAGGGACCTGGAAATTTAACCACACACAGGAGTGAAATAAAATGATTTATTTAAAGTTCTATCAGGAGGCAAAATGTCCTGAGGGGGAAAATCAACAGTAAACCTGCAGAGCTTGATCACGGGGGGAGGAAGGAGATGCAGACGCTGTGATGGCATCACCGGTGACCTGGAAGGTCCGACAAAACCTTTCCCTTCAGAGTAAGGAGCTTGGTTCTGAGGTTGTGGTAAAAAACAGGAGCATGGGTCATTCACAAAAAGTTCAGAAATATAACACAGGGGCTAGGCAAGAATTGGTGGAGAGGCAGAGCAAGGCTTGACGTCCAGATATCCGATGACTGAAGTAATCCGTCATGGGCAAAGCAATGGAGAGATCTTCATGGTCATGAAAATGGGTCAGGGACAAGACCAAGAACCCTGTATGCTTCAGTCCTGAGACAATCAGACAATCTAGCAGAGACTTGGCATGGATGGAGCGCTCATATAGAGCGGGCAACAGGTGATTGTGGCAGAGAAGTGTGCATGGCAGAGGGTAGAGAGCAGAGAGCATGACACAAAGCTCTAAATGAATACACATTAACAAGCAGAAAACAGGTCAAATAAATGACTCCACTAAATTAAACAAAAATATCCTTCAGATGCATTGGTTTGTTGTGGTGTCTGTCATAAATAATGAACTATTGAAATGTCAGTCCTTCTGATCAGGGATCCCTTCAAACGTTATAGAAATATTACTGTTGCCATCTACAAAAATATCAACTATTTTGGTCTGAGGAGAAGAAACGAATCAGAAAGTTTTCGCAGGGGATCCTCAGTCTCCTGTGTGAAAGGCAGGTATGTTCGCTGCTACATTAAGGAGGTTACAATACATGATGGTTTCACAAGAAACTAAATATTCCACCCCTCCAGTCTTCATGTACACTCTGATGTGTAGTGGGGGGGATTTTTCAGAGGCATAACTATATAATTTTTCCTATTTAAATGGTGGATATGGTGTCTTTCCTTTATATTGGGTAAAGGTACAGCTTCCTCAAATAATTTATTTGAAGGAGACAATCTTAGTTCTTCTCAAAATGCGCCCCCCAGCAAATTTTCACCCAAGTCTGTAACTCTGTAATTTGTCAATAAGAATATATATATTTAAAACTCTGCCATTAAAAGCAGTGGGCGATGAAGACATTAATATTAATTCATCTGAAGAACTGAATGCAAAGAAAACGTTTTGGTTGAATAAAAAAGTTTGGGATAGTTAGAATAATGTATGACCACCCCTACATCGTTCATTGTTCTCTTTGATTGCTCGACACCTACTTGATTTATTCCTCCTGAACATTTGACATGCTTAATAATTATAACAGCTGTACTAGACTTTTCACATGGCAATCAAACGGTGGTGTAGGTTTATGTAGGTGGCACTGATTTCTCTTCGATAACTAATTTATTTTCTACCTCCGTTGTAAAAACGGACCATCTTCTGCTTCCGGGCAAATATTTCCCAGGAAAGAAGTTTGTTTTAATGAGGATCTTAAACTGAATGTACTATACTGTAGTCTAAATTGTTATCATGCAATAACAGCTTATATGGAAGCACAGTGGAAACATTTCCAGGAGGAAATCAGTTCAATAGTTCTTAACTGTAAAACCTGTCTAAGAAGACTCTTGTTTGTTGTGCAGAATTGTTTAAGATAAGCAATTATCTGCAGTAACAGACCCTCCCAGCTGGTTGTTGCAGCAAAAGCAGTTATGGTGTGGATCCGCAGTCTTGTATCATTTTATTTGCGGCTTTGCTACCCATTAATTTCATGATAACCTCCATTTATCAACAGGCATCAATCTGAAAATCTGAAAGTAAAATTACATTAAAGGAATATGCTGATGATGGCATAAAGTTTGCGTTAAAATTTGAAAGTAAAATTTATTGTAGGAATTTGCACTGACTTAAAAACAGACAACTTTAATCCAATGAACAAAAATACAATCAGTAGCTTTGTGAACTCGCTCTGGTCATTTGTCAGCAAATAAAGAGAGCTTTTCACACACAGCGATATCTATGCAAAATATCAGAAGCAGATCAAGATGGCTGTAATACTAAAAAAAAAAAAAAAAAAAAGGATAAGATGACTTTTTAACATCTTTATTGTAGTATGAACCCAAATGTGTCTGTGCTTTAGGATGTTCATTATTCATTTATTCATGTTGGAGCTGGCTTGTTGTGAGCAGCTTGCGTGACACATCACACTCCAACCTGATACCAGTGAGAATGAGCAACTTGTCATTTAAAACATTGAAACAATATATTTTATTATTTTTTTTTAAGTTCCTAATTACCATTTGATATAGGTAATTTGTTTCTTCTTGTCTTTCAGCATAATTCTTCATGTTGAATCAGTGAAATGTCATTAGCACATGCAAAGGTTCAACTAAAACCTTAAAAATAAAACTTCTATTACCAGAACATCAAATTAAATGCAAACCAGTGCTGCATGAAATCCTTTAACATAAAGTCAATGAACCATCCTTATTAAATGTGGAGGGAATGTCAGTTTCCATGAGGAATAATTGCCCAACAGTTCAATGGTAATGGTCAAAGTCATGGAGGGAAAGTGAAGAAAGCTAAAAGACCTATCCATCTATCCATCCATTATCTTCCGCTTTTTCCGAAGTCAGGTCGCGGGGGCAGCAGCTTGAGCAGGGAGGCCCAGACAACTCTATCCACAGCCACCTCTTCTAGCTCTTCAGGGGGAACCCAAGGCATTCCCAGGCCAACCGAGAGACATAGTCTCTCCAGTGTGTCCTGGGTTTTCCTCGGGGTCTCCTCCCAGTCGGACATGCTCAAATCACCTCCCTAGTGAGGCGCTCAGGGAGCATTCTCTCCCAGATAACTGAACTTCTCACCTTGTCTCTAAGGGAGAGTCCAGCTACCCTCTGGAGGAAACTCATTTCAACCACCTGTATTCGCAATCTCATTCTTTCTGTCACTACCCAGAGCTCGTGACCATAGGTGAGGGTAGCCATAGACCGACTGGTAAACAGAGAGCTTTGCCTTACAGCTCAGCTCTCTCTTCACCACAACAACTGGTACAGAGTCCACAATACTGCAGATGCTGCACCAATCCGTCTGTCAATCTCACATTCCATTCTTCCCTCACTCGTGAACAAAACCTCAAGATACTTGAACTCCTCCACTTAAGGCAGAACTTCACCCTCGACCTGAAGACATCAATCCACCATTTTCTGGTTGAGGACCATGGCCTCAGATTTGGAGGTACTGATTCTCATCCTAGCCGCTTCACACTCTGCTGTGAACTGCTCCAGTGAGAGCTGAAGATCACGGCATGATGACGCTAACAGGACCACACCATCTGCAAAGGGCAGTGATGGAATCCTGAGGCCACCGAACCGGAAACCCTCTGCCCCATGGCTGCACCGAGAAATTCTGTCTATAAAAAGTATTAACAGAATCGGTGACAATGGGCAGCCCTGGTGGAGTCCAACTCCTACCCTGAAGGGGTCCAACTTACTACCGGCAATGTGAACCAAACTCTTGTACCGCTTGGACCGAACAGCCCGTAGCAACGAGCCCCCAATCATATCCTCACGGACCTACTTACTTACTTACTTACTTACTTACTTACTTACCTACTTACCTACCTACTTAGTTACTTAATTGCCTACTTACTTACTTAATTACCTACTTACTTCATGCTTACTTACCTATTTACCCACCTACTTACTTACCTACCTACTTACTTACTTACTTATTTACCTACTTACTTACCTACTTACTTACTTACTTACTTACCTACCTACTTAGTTACTTACTTGCCCACTTACTTACTTAATTACCTACTTACTTACCTATTTACCTACCTACTTACTTACCTACTTATTTACCTACCTACTTACTTACTTACCTACTTACTTACCTACTTACTTACTTACCTACTTACGTACTTACCTACTTACTTACTTACCTACTTACTTGCCTACTTACTAACTTACCTACTACTTACCTACTTACTTACCTACTTATTTACTTACTTACCTACCTACTTAGTTACTTACTTACCTACTTACTTACTTACTTACTTACCTACCTATTTAGTTACTTACTTACCTACTTACTTACTTACTTACTTGCCTACCTACTTAGTTACTTACTTGCCTACTTACTTACTTAAATGCCTACTTACTTACTTCCTACTTACTTACCTACTTATGTACCTATTTACTTACCTACCTACTTACTTACTTACTTACTTACTTACTTACTTGCTTACCTACTTACATAATTGTTCAGCTCATCATCACATTAAGTGAAAATCCTTGTAGTGAATTAGCATATAAAAGCTCTGAAGCTTGGGTGGGCATGCACACTGATTATTGCACCAACTACTGTCTTCTCAAATTGTCTGTTTTTGCTAAAAATCCTCCATTGTTAGTTTTTTTTAGAAAAATAATTGAATGGAAAACACATAAGAAAAATAAGAACACCTTTTATTTAACTGATGAGCAAAAGCAGAATAAGGAACTTATAATGGATTGTAGCTGTGCAATCAATCAGTTCACAAACAAATCTCTGAGCAACTTTTGAGTGTAGATTGAAAGACATTTCTTTTTTTTTTTACATCCCTCATCAACTTATTTTAAGGTTCTCTGCAGAGATAACAACAAGCACTTTAAAAAAAACAGAGGCAGCTTAAAGATGGGCTGGCTTTTGTGGTAAACCGTTTTTTGAAACTGGATATGATAAACACATACGATTTTCCCGTCTTGCTAAGAAAGCTATTTGTGCTTGCCATTCCAGACCTCGGCGCTTTCACTACTCGAACCCGAGGTGGGGTTTCTGTGCGTGAAGGTCAAGGTGTGGTGCTCATGTGCACCCCTCCACCTCATTCACAAGGTAAGAGTCCACAATTCATGAAAATGCTCAAAACGAATACACCATCTTCCTCACTTGACTAAACTGTTCATCATATATTCTAGAACAGAAGGTAATGCTCCTTTTATAAGTGCCAAGGTAAATGACTGGCTTTTAAAAAATGTATTGCTTTATATTTCAATCATTTTTTTTTTTATGTCCATTCTCTCGTTTGTTCATCCATTCCGCTCAGATGAAGAGTGTGATGAGTTATGGCGATGGCAGAGGCAGAGCACAGATTCTCAAAGATCATTTTTCTTGGATCATTAAAGAAGGAATGGAATGTGACAAAGCCAATTACTTCACATAAACAAAGAATAGGCCTGTTTTTTAATGGCATATCTTAAAAATCCTTGTCTGCTCTCAACCTCTTCTGCAAAACGTCAAACATGAAGTTTTGCGAAAAGCTCCTACCATTTAACACATACACATTACATAACGCTGTAAAAGTTGATAGTAAAATAGAGAATTAAACTTATTCACACATGTATTTGTGATAATGTTCAATGCTTGTCAAATTAAATTATTGCGTGTGATTCTGATTTTACGCAAGTGAAAACTGTCAAATTTTTTTTATATATAAAACTACAAAAGTCAGATGAGATGGCCACAGTCACATGGGTTCACATTTTATTTACTTTTCAAATGATTCAAATTGGGATTGACATGTAATAAAACTCTGACACAGGGACATGGCGGTGTAAAATGATAGCAGCATGATGGAATTATAGATTTTCTGCCATCTGTAGTTTGTTGCAGCCTTTTCTCCTATCACCTATATTTGATTCAGGTTTGGCTCACAGCAGCACGGTGAAGGACCTTCGTGTTGCGTTGCTTGCATTACGTTGACCAGCAAGATCAATGCTTAATACAAAAATATATAAAAATACACAAACACAAAAAACTTTGTCAAAAGTGCAGTTGTGGACTGTCGGAATAGTTTTTTTCATTGCAATTTAGTATTTACTGTCCACAAAGTTATAGTTGTTAATTTCCCCATCCCTATAATTGTTTATACTATTAATTTCCCATTTATGGATATTAGTAGAAAACAAAAATAATAAGAACATTTAAAGTGCCATTTTATTACCTATTGGTTTTACTAAATATTTTTTTTATTTTTTATTTTTTTGTATAAATGGTGTCTTTTTTTAATTTTATTTTTAGATTTTTTCACTTGCAGATGTTTTGCGTGACTAGTTGCCACTTTTGTGTTTATAAATGACAACCCTGCAACAAGTCGTTGAGCTTTTTATTACAGTGCTCTGCTTTCAGGCTTACAGATGGAACTCCAAATCACAATAAATGATTAGTGCTATTCATTTATTCATAAGGAATTTAAAAAATACATCTGCAACAGCTAAAGTTATTTTTCTTAAATAACACAGGGATAAGTTCTCCCACTTTGGTGGGTGTTGGGATGAGTCAGAGCATGTCACAATTAAAATGTGTTTATTTGTATTTTTGAGGACAAATAAATAAACCTTGTTTGTGGTAAATTGTCTGTGGGTGGATTCAGAGACAATAACATGTATCTTAATTAGTGAAGTTTAATAACTGAAAAATGATCTGTAGTATGTGTGAGATGACGTTTTGTTGTTTGTTGTTGTTGTTTCTTTTTGTTTTGTTTTTACTACTTAAACTATAAAATTGTTTTTTTTTTTGTTTTAAAAATTGTGTTAATTATTAGGCAACTTTCAATTTTTTATTTACAAGAAAGACCTGATTTTAACAAAAAGTGATGACAACAGTAGACAATCATAAAAGAAAGTATACAAATTGAGAAGAACAAGTGAAAGGACATTGTATTAATAAAACAAAACAAAAACAGCTAGGTTGCAAGGTGATGTAGAAAACTAAAAACAGGAACATGTCTGCATTGGGGGTTTTTTTCCCAGAAACTTAGCAGATGTTTGAAGTTACTTCGAGAGGTCAAGGTTGAGAGCTTCAGATCTTTTTGCAAGATATTTCAAGAAACAGGAGTGGAGTAGGAGAAGGCCCTACATACATACATACACATCATAAACAGTCAGAAACATTGTGCATATACTGTAATTTCAAAAGGCTACCCAGCATGCCTTGCAGCTCACAGTCTCTGGGACTCTCTCACAGAGAGAACATTGTGAGTTTTGGAAAAAAAAATAGAAGAAAGTTAAACAGAGGTGCAGCTTGGCTTTGATCTGGGGCCAACAGAACCACATCATCTGCAAAGAGCAGAGAAGGAATCATGAGACCACCGAACTGGACTCCCTCTGCCCCCTGGCTGCACCGAGACATTCTGTCCATAAAAGTTATGAACAAAATCTGTTACAACAGGCAGCCTTTACAGAGCCTAACTCCCACCCTGAAGGCAGCCGACTTACTGCCGGCAATGAGAACCAAACTCTCGCACTCCCACTTGTATAGGGGCCTAATAACCTGTAGTAAAGGGCCCCCAATACCATACTCATGGAGCACCCCGCACAATGTATCCCAAGGAACATGGTCAAATGCCTTGTCCAAGTCCACCAAACACATGTAAACTGGATGGGCTAACCCCCATGACCTCTCAAGGACTCTAGTGAGAGTGAAGAGCTGGTCCAGTGTTCCACAGCCAGGACGAAACCCGCATTGTTCATCCTAGATCTGAGGTTCGACCAGTGATCACACTCGCTTCTCCTGGACCCCTGAATAGACCTTACCAGGGGGGTTAAGGAGAGTGACGCCCTATAACTCAAGCACACCCTACGGTCCCCCTTTTTGAAGAAGGAAACCACTACCCCAGCACTACCTCCATTGTCCACACAATGTTGCAAAGGCGTTTCAACCAAGACAGCCCCACAACATCCAGAGCTTTAAGGAAATCAGGGCGGATCTTGTCCATCCCCAGAGCCCTGCCACCTCAGAGTTTTTTAACCACCTCGGCTATCTCAGCCATGGTCATAGACGGACCACCCTGAAATTCCCCGACTCAGCTTCCTTCATGGAAGACATGCCGGTGGGACTGAAATGGTCCGAGAAGTATTCCTTCCACCTCCCAATGCCATCACTGGTTGAGGTCAACAGCACCCCACCTTCACTGAACACAGTGTTAGTAAAGCATAGTAGAAAAGTACTAAAGTACACTACAATAGTAAAGTAATAGTAGCAGTACAGTAGTAGTACTGTAGTAAAGTACAGTAGAAATGACTTTATATTAGAGAACATTTTCCCACAACCCATTCTGTTTCTTTCTTTGTTTGTTTGTTTGTTTTTTTACTGTGCACACATTTTACAGGCTATATATATATATTACTGTAAAATACAGAGCATAACTTTTACAAACACCAGGTCAGCAATCAAAACATCTATATGGCATATAATATAATATATACATGTCCTTCCATCTTTTTGCAGAGACTATCTACAGTTGGGTGTTTAATGAGTTTCCCTCGTTTGTTGCTGAGGACAGTCGGCGCTTCATCTCGCAGGTCACGGGGAACCTGTACATCTCCAAGGTGCAGCCCTCAGATGTTGGAAGCTACATCTGTCTGGTGAAGAACATGGTGACAAATGCAAGGGTGCTGAGCCCCCCAACTCCTCTGACACTTAAAACTGACGGTGAGGATCCCATGGTTTCAATTATTTACACCGTTGCTGAGTTTTCTCTCTCCTTATCGGATCTGATTGCACAGCAGGTTTTCCTGAGGTCTGTTAAAGTTTTAGCTTTTATTGATTAGCTTTAGTACAGATGAAAATCTAAAAATCAATATTATATTATGCTTTTGCACTGCTTTATGTCTTAATGCATTTTCGAGATTTTTTTTTTTTTTGTTTGTTTGGATCCTGCTTACTCCTCAAGGTGCTTGGAATACCATGCCCAATGTAAATAGATAGTGAGCGATGTTTTAATGTTAGTGCGGGGAGTCTTTGCTCACAATGTGCTTTCGTAAAACTGGCCATCAGGGAAATCAGTTTCCTGCATAAAATTAACTGAATCAATGGCCCTTGCAGCGGATGGGAGTTTGGGCTTTTATTTCTGCCTCTGAGGAGCCACGCTGCCAAGCTGTCTGTTGGATACAGGCATGAGCATTACCTCCAGGCATTTTACCTTTGACTCTAAAAAGAAATGCCCATCACATTACACCCGTGTCTGTCATTCTACAGGTTTTTTTTTTAAACTTCATAAAATACTTGAAGCTATTAAATGCTCTTTGCATTCTGATTTTTTTTTTTTTTTTTTTTTTTTTTTATGTTGCAACAGGATTACATTCCTTCCAGCAAGTTTGTTGCTCTTTAATTGCGTAACCCAGTTTGAAGTCAGCCTGTGAGACATGCAGAATACTTTGCATATAATCAAGCTAAAATAGCCGTCTCACAGTAAACCAGCTGCAGCACACAGTCAGGACATGCGGTCAGTCAAGCTCTTTAATGTGCAGAAAAAAATGTTGTTGTTGGCTTTATTTTTTTCATTAAGTGGAGAAAAGGAAATTAATTTTGCAGCATCGGTGGGATATGTTTGTGCAAAATGCTCATCCCTTAATAACTAATGATTTGTTTACATTTAAAAGCAAATATTTGAGCCTCTTCCAAACCGTGCCTTGCAATAAAAGCAAGGTGTTAGAATAAATGAATCCTTCACACTTTGTAGTTATTTCAATTATTTTAGAAGGTAAAAAAAAAAAGGATGTTTTGAAAAAGTAACTTCAAATGTTTACAGTGCCTTTTTAAAAAAGTATTCACCTCCTTAGATGTCCCATGCTCTTATCGCTGTCAAAAAATCAATCATGGTCAATATAAGTTGGATTTTTCTTCTTGAACATTAAAAAAAAAATCTTCAAATTCAAAATGAAATCAAAATTTTAGAAGTAATACCAATTTTAAAAAAACAAAAAACGTGTAAAATAAGTGATTGCATGAAAATGTACCCTATTTAAAGTGATTCCTATGAGAAAAGAAAAAAAAAGATTGAAAAGTACACGTCGGGGACGGACTATAGAAATTGTGTAACTCTACCAAGAACAGGCTGTCCTCATAAACTGAGTGACCGTGCAAGAATAGAGAGATATGAAGATGTTTGTGTGACCACTCTGAAGGAGTAACAAGCTTCAGCAGGTAAGACGTGAGAGACTGTGCCTACAACTGTTGCACAGGTTCTTCTCCAGTCTGACATTGATGGGAGACTGGCAATAAGTAAGTTACTCCAGTCAAAACTCATATTGAATGTAACCAACCAAGACAAAATGTAGGTGCATGTATCAAGAGTTTTTGAGAAACTGTATAGGTAACCAACGGTTGTTGCACCGTTACTCAGGTTGTGGGGACGTGTCCTATTTTGCCCTTTCCCCATCCAGTAGAGGCAGATGGTTGTCTAATTTCTGAACATGGTGATGCTGGAGTTTTCTTCCAATTAAATGGGAGTTTTTTTTCCTTTTCACTGCTGCCTGTGTCTTGCTCAGAATGAAAGATTGTGACAAAGTGGATATTAAATAGTCAATAATTGGCTTTTTTTTTAATGTGTGTAAATATGTTGTAAAGAACCCTGAGACCCATTTTGTTTTGAATCGGTGCTTTATGAACAAACTGAGATGGATAGAACTAGCTGTTTTGGTCCTTTTAAGGGCAGCATGGTGGCACAACTGGTAGAGCTGCTGCCTCTCAGCGAGAAGGTTGCTGGTTAAAATCTCGGTCCGGGGTCCTTTCTGGGTGGAGTTTGTGTGTTCTGTCTGTACATGCCTGGGTTTTCTCCGGGTACTCCGATTTCCTACCACAGACCAAAAACATGCATGTTAGGCTGATTGGTAACTCTAAATTGTCCCTAGGTGTGAGTGAGAGAGCGAATGGTTGTTTGTCTCGTTTGTCTCGATATGGCCCTGTGATGGACTGGTGACATGTCTAGGGTGTACCCCACCCCTCGCACAGTGATTGCTGGACATGGGCACCAGCGACCTCCGTGACCCAAAATGGAAGAAACAGGTTAAAGATAATAGATGGATAGTCCTTTTACCATACATATATTGTTGTCACCAGTTCAAAGTACACACACCCACACACATATATAAATGTGTGTGTGTATACACATATACCCCCCCCCCCCACACACACATATATATATGTATATTATTAAAAAAGTCCACTATAATATCTTTGACCAGATTATTATTGCTGCTAAAAAAAAAGTGAAAGTCCAACTTTATAATAAAAAAATATATATTTTATTGTCTAAATGTGTTTGATGAACACCACAAAATAGGTGGAGAATATTTAAAACACACAAGATGAAGGATTTGCTGCAAAAGAAACACAAGTCTGACTGTGTGTGTTAGTAAGATAAGATAAGAACATATGTGTATGTGTTTGTGGGCAAGTGTGTGCGCATATATATAATCCATAAATCTGCTGTGATTTGATGTATTTGTATTTGCAAAAGTAATTACTCTCCTTGTGAAATCATAAATTGTTGAATATTTTGGAAAGCTAACTTCACTTTGCCCCTTCACACGCAGGCCCGATGACCTTATTGCTTAAATAGAGTCATTACCCACAAAACAGGGAACAGTGGTAAACCTTTCCAGTATCCTGATGCGTGCTCAGTAATCCTGGTAGAAAAATCTAAAAAAGTTAAGTCTGGTCCTCTGGACATTCAAAAGACAAGAACAAAAAAAAAAGTGAAAACTTTTAGTCTTTCATCCGAAAGACTTCTTCAGTCTGAGGTGCTGTATTCAGCTCGGTCTTATAAATAGCACCTTCTCGTAGTGGATCAACCAGTTTGCTGCTGACAACCAAAACCAGCTGCTCACATGATTAAACCTTTCCAGTAGTGTCCGGAAGAAGAAAAATACTCTAAGTGTGCACTGGCTGGAGATCCCATAAGAAGTTGAAACAACATCTAAAGCACTTTGGGCCACACTTGTCTCAGATTTAATCAGATTCATATTCAACAATAAGAAAGAGACAAAGTGTAAAAATGGTCTCTGTGAGAGAGATCCAAGACCAAAAGCCTCTGCTGACCAACAACACACAAACAAAACTACTAAACAAATCCTGTCTCACATTTGCTGAGTTTTGGGAAAGTATCTTGTGGGCTGACAAGAGAAAAGTGAAACGTTTTGGAACTTGTAAAACTACTGCTGCATTTCAGAAAAACAACAGTCAAACATGAAGGTGGTAAAAGGGTTGTGAGCTCAAACATACAGGTAGATATTCCTTTTCTTTCATTCCTATAGCACAATTACTGCCTTTACTATAAATGTCCTCAAATGACTAGATTCCTTATATATATATATATATATATTTGATTGGATGATGGGTGACCCTTCTGTCCTCTGCAACACAACATGATCAGATTAAATCTCGACACCTGTAAGTCCATGTTGCCAAAAACTGCCTTGGCCACTTTTGCTTCTCGTATCTCGTGATGCTCAGCAGCCTTCTGTTTTTTTAAATTTGGTGTGAAAATTCTGCAGATTGTATTGGCACACCTTGCAGTAATCACCCAAATGTTCCAGTGCTGTCTGCTCCCTTCACTCATTGGAGTCTTATAAATTGGCCACCACAATCTGTGCTTCAGTAAAAACTGAGCGATCATAACACAACAGACAGTTCAAGCTGGATCTGCGTGTGAATCGCCACTGCTGGCTCCAACTCTGGTTCTGTTCATCAAAACAAGCATCTGGGCTCCATTATACTCTGCTGGAGGCCAGTGATTGTCAAGTTGCAATCCAACCTGAGCAGAGCGGTGCTAAACAATGAGCTCCAGAATAATACTTTGTTTTCACGTGTCTAAAATAACATATGTGCTATTTCTTCACTGTTAAATGAAGAAAGACGTGTATATATATATATATATATATATATATATATATATATATATATATATTAGGTGCAACATCACACAGTTTTAATTTGTACTCTTACCTTCTGTTTTTTCATTTTTGTAATCTATTTTGATTACAATAAAATGATTAAGTCCTTTTTATGTCAAGCTGAATCCAGTTAGTCAGCATAAAAATATTGGTTTTACAAAAATGTGTGTTGGTAGCTCATACAGATCTACAACTTATTCTCTAAGAGTGAACACTTAGTATGTGTAAGATCTGTGTTTGAAATGTTACCATTAAATATTAGAATCAACTCTTTATGTTTGTTAAGCAGAATATCTCATGAGGCACTGGTTGGATTTGAATAAAATCCTGAGCAAAATAATCACTCTGTGTGCACATCACTGCCACCTAACTTTAGAAAACAGGCAAGAACTCATCCACTTGTGTAGATATTGAGCTATAATTTTGTGTGGTTGTAGCCGAGTGCAGTCCCCGATGTAAAAAAAACCTTTAGGGCAACTTTTGGATGAATTTTTTGTTTAACTCTTACCAACTGTTGGCATCAAACCGATGTTTTTAGCAAACATTTTATAAACCAGTTGACAGACTTCAAGTTCAAGCCAATTTTATTATCATTCGCATCACATGTGGTACATGAGGTGGAATGAAATTATATACTCAAGGTCCCAGTTACACCGAACAATAGCAAAAATATAACGTGTAAAAAGAAACAGTATTCAAGGGTCTAAGATATACACTGCATGCGCGTAGCCAGGGGGGGTTCGGGGGGTTCGAACG